TATATATGCCAAGCAATAATGCCATACATATATTACTTCTGCTTTGGGAGTGCTTGCAGTAAAGCCAACCCATTTTTTTAACGCCGGACTGCAACACCAATCGCTGATACTTCCGACAAGATAAACAAGACATTTTGTCTTTCATGTCTTCACAAAACACTTCCTGACACCTTTTCATATCTAACTTCTAGCATGAGTAGTAACGTTTCCGTTGTCCGTATTTTTGTTTGTTGTTGTCCTACTTACAATCCCTACTTTCAAAAGAAAACCGCCGCTGTTTTCCCCGATGCGATCCTGGCAAGTTTCCCCGCGCGTTGGTGTTACATGTACATGTGTGCAGCATAGGAAAATGCAGCATGGCATTGGAGAGGAGCACGTGTTAATTTGCCCACGTGCGCAGTGGGAGGGGCTTACTGGATCGGCTATTGACATCGCGAAAATGGCATGCCAACATCGAAGAACTTGATTTCTTTTTTCTGTGTGGGCCTTTGTATTTTCCGTTTTCATGTACTTATTTGGAGGACGTACTGCTCGCACAGGGTCGCACAAGAAGCGGTACATTACACTGATACAGCGAAGCCAATTCCCCCCAAAGTTTTCCATCGCCTGTTCAATCGTGTCGAATGCACGTGGTTATAGGGAATCGCCTTGCACGCAGTATGCTGCCCACAGCACGTGGCGGTGTTGTAGAAAACTTGTCATGAACCCCAACATTACATTAAAACGTTTTGAAAACCTTGGTTCATTTACGTTACGGACTCTGGGATTTTTCTAAAAGAATTTCTTGTTTACTTTTAGGGGTAAATTTATCATGGCTGTTAGATGTTCGCCTCAATGCCTCCGTAATTATATACATGTACATGTACAAAATAATCTAGTTCTCTCAACTGATCAGAGCACCCTTTTATCGAACACATTTTCGTTCGCTGTCCGTCAGCTTTGTTCGCTGGGTAAGTCTGCTAATTGCACCCAATATTTGCACAAATAAAACATACATAAACACTTAAAAACTAGTTCAGCAATTATACTTTCAGTAATAGCGGGAACCTCTGGCTTATGACCTCCAAGTCGAGCAAAACGCAAGAAAAAGGGCAGACAACAAAGAGGATTTCAAACTCAAAAGAGCTCTCATTTATTTCGCCAGACAGACTTTGCAGTCAACTCACCGCACCGTACCCCTGATTCCCAGCATAGAAAACCACAGCTAGACAAAATGTATCAAAATGTTGCAAGTTGGAATATCCAAACCTTTTAGTGGCCTATTTGTTAGAAAGTTATCTCCAGAGCACGCACTTAGCCAGACAAAAGAACCGGGTCAGCGCACCTGTGCCCTAATTAGCCCGCCAACAATGCGCCCGCCGGAGCTCGGCTGGCGATTTTTTTTTTTTTTGGCTGAAATGTCACCCTTCATGTTTTGGGTACACAGCTTATAATACATCCCCTGAGGGCAAACAAGGAAATACTGCTTTGCACGTGTCAAGCTGGAGCGTGTGTATGCCGCGCCCACGCCCATTATTTGCATAAACTTAAATATGCATTTACAATTCAAAGACCCATATTTCATTGAATAAAGACATTAAATATCATAGGTTTTTTTCTTGGAGTTTTTGGTTGTTGAGAATAAGTTTATTTAAAATGATATAAAATCATTTCCTCAATTTTTGGTGACAAAAGTGCGAGTTATTATTATAAAAGTGATTTTTTTATCCTCAATACTGTGACTAGGAAGTACACTGTTTTGTAGACTTCAAGAAGCTTCCAGTAATAGATATGCTCGGTTCCTGTTTGCGAGTTAAGGGTCGGAGAGTCACAATAGCTGACGCCACCCGCCGTGTTTGGGGTTCACGGCTTAATACGTCCCCCATGCAAACAAGGAATCCTTCACTCTCTAGCTTCTCTGGTTATTGTTAATCTTTAAATTACTGACAACTGAAGAACAACTGATTGTTGTCAAATACATACCTGCCAACATGGAAAAGTCAGAAGGAGGAACAGGGTGCCTACGCATCACACACGGTGAGCGGCGCAGGCGCGCGCGCGCTAATGGGTTGGGTCCAGGGGCAATCATACAAAGTACATGTACATGTGCATGTGCCTAAAATGTTACATGATATCCAGAAGCAGACCCAACAGACACTAATCTAAAATTAGTGGATAATTTTCTGAATTTTCCGGCCGGTTTTTGCTGATCAAAAATTTAAGAATAAATGACTGCTGACTTACATGCTTCACAGTTTAATCACATGTAGATATTCAGTCACAGTAATACATTTTATGATGTACACTGAAAAAGCAGTGACAAGTACAATTTTATTTGGAAAAGTTCGTACATCATTGTAAGGTGTACATGGGCCTGTTACAATACACATTTTTAAATTTTTCACGATATTCCTCTCGGAATTTTTGACTCCATCGCTGCCTTTTCTCCTTCAGTGTATCATCCTCCTGGTCCATGTTGCAGTTGAAATGCTCATACAAAAACGTTGACAAAAAAAAGTGCGACTCAGCACGGTCAAAATATCAACGAAAAACCACCAAAGACTATGAAGAAACAACGTGTGTGGAAAACAAACATGGCATCAATACGTCCACCACGCCGTGCCTGGTGAGGCCCGCGCTTAATTCAGTAAGCACGCAAGAGAGGCAGTACACCAGACGGATGACGTAGCGGGTCTCAGTATTAGCTGCGGCTAGGTTGTGGCTGATCGCACAAGCCTGTGCGCGCGAACGGCTGCAGCCGCAGCCTTTTCGGACATGGCCTGTTCGATGACGTTTGAGTCTGGTTTACGTCCCTTTCGTCGTACATAAGAGCGAGGCGGATTTTATACCATTATGGTAGCGGCAATAGCGCCCTCAATACAATAAAACATTTTTCTCGGACAAGTGTGCGACGGCGCCGGGGCATTTTTAAATTTTTTTGTATTATTTCTTCTCTCGCAACTCGGAAAATTGGGACGTTCCGATTTTCGGGCACTTTTTATCTCCAAAATCGGAACAGTTCCGCCTAAATCGGAACAGTTGGCAGGTATGCATATACCTGACTTACCTGTGAAGAAATCATGCATGGCATGCTGACGTGCGCATGTACGTTGACTACATGTACATGTATGGCATATTTTTGCTTTTGAGGGAATTTGGAATGGCCAAATAACCGAATATTCGATGGATTGGAAGGTCGAATATTCGAATATTCAATTATTCGAATTGACTCAGCCCTATTGTACGTGTCAATGAATGGGATTTGGGGTTACATTGAAGGGTTATATTGCAGTACATTGAATAGCCCAATTATTAATCCAAGTTTATTATGTCTTTAGTATATATTAGTGAACCAGTTTAACAAGATCAGTTAGTTCATCAGGTCATCGGTTCAGTTGTTGTGTTGTGCAACAAGCTGCTATATCCGTCTCCTGCGTTGGCAAGGGAACTGTAACCACATGTACATGTGGATATTCAGAGAGTAAATAAACAAGGGAACAGAGCAGAAAATGAGTTCACACTTGGAGTAGATTTCCTCTTATGTAACTGCTACATATAGCATTTGTTCATGACAAGAAAACTCTCATATGACATAGGTTCTTACCAAGTTCAAAATCCGGTGGTTTAAACTGTGTGCATCTCATGTCCAGAATGAGTGGGGGTATGTTGACACCAAATGGCCTTAACAAACCTCTGGTGGCCAGCTCATATGCCTCCTGGCTCTGAATGTCCACACCAGAGTTACTGCAGATGTACAAAAAAGGGCATTACATGTGTTTTATTGCAATTTTAACCAATATGTATATTTGTAAAAAGTTTCAAAATTATCTTATTACTGTAACCACTGTACAATAGTATACAGTAGATTCCCGTTATAGCGCTCTCAAAGGGACCGAACTGAACCGAGCGTTATAACCGCACAGCGCTGTAACCTACGTACATGTACATGTATTTGTACATGTACACATGTACATGTACTGTATAAAATACATGTATGTACATGTACACACATACACGTACACCCATGTATGACTGTACGGGTCGGACTATGCATACATGTAACATGTCAAGCCTGTGATTCTTCTGTTGGACACCTCCATCAAAATCATATTGTTCGTTTCAAAATGGGGAGAATGAATTCTGTTGCCACATACACAAAATAATGAAACATTTCTGTTTAAAGTCGAATAAAACAGTCGAGACAATCATGGAATCTACGGAGTTAATATTTTTAATTTGAATTTTGCCGCATAAAATATGAAAGTTTACAAAACATGCATAACCTATAACTGAACAGAAGGATTTTTGTTTGAACACTGGAACAATTTTGAGGGCCGAATGTGTCGCTTAACCAACGCAAAAAAAATCTACGAAGTCTTGAACGACCCTGGAGCAGACCGACTAGGGTTGAATTTTCATCTTCCAAACTTCACCAAAAACATCTCAAATTAACGGCTGTTACAACATTAACATGGAAAACTTCATACATTTAAAATGATTGTACAAACGAATCTGGAAAACATTATCCCTACTTCTCTCTTGCAGCGACGAATCAGTCAACCGTACAATACTAAGCTTCATGCACACACAACACAATCCCACTGTATGCAAAACGCACACACGTGCTCGCGACTCGACTGCGCTGGGCGGAAGTTGCGCTATGATGAGCATGTGGCCTCCATTCCAGGCGCTCATTCATGCAGCAGGAGTGGGGAAAAAATGCCCGAATTTTTCAAGGGCCAAGACCTCATATGAATCGAAACGCGAACTTTGAAAGAAAATTCAAGATATTTTTTTTTTGGGAAAGAAGTGACTAATAAAACAGGAACAAATATCCTATAGCCAAGGGGTAAATCGATGTCCGTCTCGTTAATAAAATAAATGTATTTAGTACATGTATAAGATTATGAAGTTTCAATACGGTGAAAAACACAAAACAAAACGATGCACATTTCAAATCTAGTCCCTATAATTCTGGGGGTTTTGCCTACAGAAGACGCGTGCATCATCGAACATACAGCTTTATTAATCACCGTCTGTACCCGGACCCGTTGGATATGCCCTGAACACTACATGCATATCGGCACATACAGTATGTACATGTACCGTACGTACACCCACTGTGTGTGTGATGCTATGATGGACTGTATGTACATGTACATCTAGTGTGTGCAACCACGTGGCGTCAGTGGGCAGACCGCGCCGCTCCTTGCGGGTTTCGTCAAATCTGCGAAAAATCTGACACTCCAAGGTGAATAGCGTTATAACAGGAATCATTTTACATGTTTTATATTGTTCCTGGGTCCTAAAATAGTGAGCGCTATATCCCGAAAAGCGTTGTAAACGGGAGCGCTGTAACCGCAGGAAAATGTACACAATGAATGGGAGCGCAGTCGGGGAAATGAAAAATGAGCGTTATATCGGCAGGAGCATTATATCAGGGCGCGCTGTAACGGGAATCTACTGTATTTCAAGGTTGAGGGTTGCGAACAAGTGGCAATTAAACAAATTATATTAAAAAAATATGCCAATTATAATAACCATGATAATAATAATACATACCCAATTCATCAATAATGGTGTGATCAGATTACAGAGACACAAGCCGCAATGGCCATTTTTCTGTCTCCAAATGATTTCAAAGGATTTTTGAAACCTTACTGCCCTACATTTATTTCTTGGTACCTCCTGAATCCTCCAAAATCCCCACTTTGCAATTATATTACCCATTGGTACATTTTTTGAGCGTCAACTTTCCAGGGCCATCAAGTCCCACACAAACTTAAAAGTGGTTCTTGTAGCTTCTTTTTATAAATCTATTAAAATCAATTGGATTTTAAAAGATCTGTGACAATCAGGGCTAATGCAGCATTTTTCAATGAGAAAAGTATGTTTGGAACAAGAACACAAAATACATAAGATGAAAAGTCTCTGGAAAGAAACATGCTTTCCTTCCATGTACATTTACATGACATTTCACAAGTTTGGACTGTGCACAGAGTTTAAAATTCGCAAAATTCTTTTCACTTTTACAGAAAATAGATTTCTGCATTTCCTTTTCCTAGCCAAACAACATGAATCCTATTTGATTGGACCATACCAGATAAAACAAGTTGATTCCAGAACAATGGTAAACTTGATCTCCCATCTTATATTCCTTTTATATTTTCTATTATTTATTTACAGAAACAAACTTGATGAATAAATTAGAATCATTACCGTTTCACACCTCATTTTAAAAAATCTGTACGAGAGAGCTGAAATTAAGCCTTTTTGAAAACCATTTCAATACCAATAGCAAATTTTTTTGCATGCTGAAAGTTTGTTGTCACATGAATGTTGTCAACCACCTTGGCTATGGCTTTGCTCGTCCCCACAGCTCTCTTCCCATACACTCGTTTATTTCAGGCCGTAGTATAGTGATTCGGACCCAGCCTTACACTTTCCCAAAATTAGCAGCTACCACGTGAGCAAAATGATACGCAATCCATATGTACTGAACCAGTAATTACATGTACCAACACATGTACCGGTAGGTGATGCAACTGTGCCTGATGAACTCTTTGTGAATAGACCGGAATATGCGCAGCATTCTGGGACTGTGTGCCGCATCACAACACATACAAAGTATCCCTAAAAAGGAAAATTATCAGTTCGTCAATCGTAGGGGAATCTAGTCTTATTATTAGACTAATGTTCATGGATAATGCCTGAAGTAAGGCCAAAGGCACCAGATCATTTATGCACACTCACACATACACCATGTTTGACTTTGAAATTTACAACTACTGACCTTAACATTACCTTCTGGTGGCTCCTCTGCATATTTGAGATGACCCTCTCAAACTTCTCTTGGGTGACATGATCTGGAATTCAAGCAAAAAATTAGTACAAACATACATTCTATTTAGGAACCAGTCTTTTAGGTATGGATGAAAGAGGACAAGTGGATACCAGTTTTAATCACTTGGGGATTTTGTGGAAATAGGAAAAATTGCCTAAATTTAATTATACAGGTTTGTTGTTGGACAAAATGAATTTGCTTGCAGTTAGGGGATTTCAAAACAGGTTCATATGACTGGTTACATTTTGGAGGTAGTAATAGAGGAAAATAATTAAATCTTCTGGTTAAATGGCATATTCACTTATGTATTAAAAACTTTGGACAATGTTAAAACCGGAAAAGTGGCATCTCTGTTTCTCTCTAAATTTTGTTTTTAAAACTGCCCTCCGTCCAAAACAATTATTGATTTATTTTCAACATGTCTTTAGTAATTTAGCCCAGTGCAATGAGCATGTAGCTGAATATCTTATTGAAATTATTTTCTCAAACTATACAATCAGCCTCACCTGTTTTACGACCCTTCGGTTGTGCAGTTTTGGGGCTTTTTTTTTTTTTTTAGCAAACTACAGTTAATCTTTCAACTCAATCTGTCCACAGTTGACACTTATGTCAGACTACAGTTGGGGTGGCTACTTTAACTTTCTAACAAACCTCCTAATGAGCTTTTCATTTCTGGGACTACGGTTTATTTCTTGGGATTTCACTTTTAATACAGTTACTCTCTACCAATACCAATTTCCCCAGAGATGACACTTGCCAACAACACTTTCAATTTGACTGTTACAGGATATTTCTAACTAAACATCATCTTACCAAAGGTAGATTTTTGCCAGATTTTTCCATCAGCATCATGGTTGTCTGTTGCAAAACCAAACTGGCCCTTGATGGTGTAGGTCTTTGACATTAGTGTGGTATGGTATGTATCTATGTCCTTGGTGCCAAGCTTCACAGCTAAAACTATCCATGAGAAGAAACAAATTGGACAAATATGTTAAATGATCAGCGAATGTCTCATATTTGACATAAATTTCACTCACCACTTGTCCACTAACATTTAAAAATCTGTTTAAAAAACTTGCTCAGGATTTTTCTGGTTAACCAATTAAATAAGAAATTTATCCTAGGATACAGGAAATCATCCTAAAACTTGAGAGTTTGCCATCTGTCCCTGTAGAGACACTCCTATGTAGGGATTTTGCCATTGAGAAACAGAAGTTTGGAATGTAATATTCGAGTCTGCAAAGGAGAAGTACTGTGACAGGATCCAGTAAGATGGTGCCGAGACGACAAGTGACTCCACGTCACAAAAGCTAAGTACCCTTTCCATTTGTGATCTTACCCTAAAATCCTGTAGGTATCCCCACACAGCGGCCAGCGACATCAAGGAATTATGTTTGGCAAACCTTAAATACTCCCTCAAGTCTTGCCTTAGCTCAGTTAGCCAGCACAAACCCAAGCAGCCCAAGCAAGCCACCATTACAGGTATCATCATCACAGACATCATGACCCCCAACCCTTCCCATTAGAACCCTTCTTTTTCAGAAAGGGAAACAATAGACGGGCAGAAGAAGGAATGCGATGCTCTCTGCTCTACTATTGATATGCTGATGAGCTCTCCTTCTCGTGGTGCCTATGTCCATTCAATGCCCCCGCCTTGTGCCCTGAGCCGTAACCGTCCATGTGCGACCACGGGCCAAGCTAGTCCAGCAGTGTCAACAGCCAACCGCTTTGCTGCATTAGCTACGGAAGATGTCAATCTCATCATCATGAAAGACAACATTGATGATCCACGGACTGAGGCTGAGTTGCTGATTGACTCCTACTACAAGGCTTTGACGCCAAGTGTCCAACCTGGCAAGAAACAGGAATGTTCAACACTCCCCAACTAGCTTGACCAACGTTTTAGCCAGCGAGCCATGCAGGCCGTGTTAGCATGTCCAGTTGTGAAAAAATCATGGGCTATATTTCCAAGCACGGCTTGTATTTTTAAACTGAAGCCGTGCTAAAAATATTAGAAAATCTATTTCAGTGATGGGGAATTTCAGGTGAACAATTTGTGATTTTAATTTCTGAAATAAAAGGCAAAATATTTATGGTTTTCTTGGACAATTCAAAACATTAAGACATTTAACGCAGGCAACATTCATTTTGCGGCGCAACCACGCACGCTCCAATCCCGCAGCCTTGATTGTGGTCCGATTTTAGTCTGGTACATGTATACGTTTCGTTTGGTACAAAATTGTATCTGTACATGCACAACGGAAAAGGGAAACTAGCCATCTCGGTACAGTGATGGCTAGTAAAAGGGGGAAAATAACCCACTTTTGTAAGATAGATATTGGCCTTCAAAATATGCTATTTTTTATATGACGTCACATGTCACGTGATGAGGTCATTGTGACATCACTTAAATTTTCATCTATAACACATTCTAGTTTAGGTAAATACCAACTTTCAACCGTATCAGACCTGTAGTTGTGGAGATAAAGCCCAATCTGTCATATCTAGCCGAATTCTGCTAGAAAATGGTCACAACAGAAAAATCGCTTATAATGTGACATCATGTGACTCATGATGATGTCACGATGATGTCAGTGTTCAGCACACAACTTCAGATGCTGGTCTAAGTATATGCCGAGTATAAAGGCATTCGGATTTATTTTAGTGCCGGGGACAAAAAGACGTGTACAAATGCTATGGGCAAAATGACTGAAAAAGACAAACTAGACTTAGGCCAAAAAAAAAGTCTCCGGTTTCTGGTATGGAGCTTGCCCAAAAAGTGGTGCGGCGATGCGGCTTTTTTTTTTTTTTACGTGATTTTTTTTGCCTCAAATGTCGGCTGATGACTGCAAATGGTGCCCGACTAAACTTAGTGCAAATATATGGGAGTCCAGAGAGGCCACATAAAGCTTATTCTCCATTATAACCCCATTCAAAAACACGTTAAAATTGTGCAGCAGCAGGATTCCAGTCAAACCAGTGAGTTTGGCGGTTTTGAGACATCATCTTTCATCGAAAAAAAAAACTTTTTCATTTTGCCGACACGCATGGCTATGGCGACGAGCGCGCATACCAGAAACCGGAGCCTTTTTTTTGGCCTTATGTTTGTGGACAAAGACAGGGCTATTTCGGTAACTTTTTTGTGACATATATGTGACTTGTAAAGTTTCAAGTATAAGTTCAATCCAGGAAGGATGTGTATAATGTGTTCTATTTATAATAAATGGTGGCATATACATGTACATGTACATGTAAATATGTGATGACATTCTCATAGGCCATGTCACGTGATGACTTCATCGTGACATCACTTAACACATCCCATTCCCAGTGTCGGTACATACCAAGTCTTAAACCAATCAGACCTGTAGTTCTGTAGAAAATGGCCGTCGAAATATGCACATTTAATGTGACGTCACATGTCAGGTCATGACGTCCCCTTGACGTCACATACATTTTCATCTATAACTCATTCCGCTTTAGGTACATACAAAGTTTCAACCCAAACAGACTTGTGGTTCTGTAGATATTGGCCTTCCAAATATGCACTTTTAATGACGTCACTCTTGTCACGTGATGAAATCACCGCGACGTCACTTCAATTTTCATCTTTAAAAAATCCCGGTTAAGGTACAACCAAGTTTCAACCCAATCAGACTTTTGGTTCTGTAGATATTGGCCTTCAAAATATGCACTTTTAATGACGTCACATGTCACGAGACGACGTCATCATGACGTCACTTCAATTTTAATCTTAAACACATCCCGGTTTAGGTACATGTACATACCAAGTTCCAACCCAATTGGACCTTTAGTTCTGTAGATATTTGCCTTCAAAATATGCACTTTAATGTGACGTCACATGTCACGTGATGACGTAATCGTGACGTCACGTAAATTTTCATCTATAACACATCCCGGTTTAGGTCCATACGTACCAAGTTTCAACCCAATCCGACCTATAGTTCTGTATATTTAGGCCTTCAAATTATGCAAGTAAAATATGACGTATTCGGAACACATCTTTAGATGCTGGTCTACATGTGTGACGAGTATAAAGGCAATAGGATTGATTTTAGTGCCCAAAGTACCTTGGACAAAAAAACGTGTACAAATACTATGGGCAATATTACGCACGTTAAATGTGACATCACAGGTCACGTGAAGATGTCACGATGACGTCAAAGTTCAACACACATCTTCAGATACTGGTCTAAGACTGTGCAGAGTATAAAGGCAATGGGATTGATTTTAGTGCCCAAATGCCGGGGACAAAAAAATGTGTACAAATGCTATGGGCAAAATGATTGAAAAATAAAAATAAACTAGAGGTTGTAGGAACAACCACACGGTGTTGGGCCATTGTAGATGTTGACGTTGATTGTTGATTGTTGATGTTAATGTTGATTGTTGATTGTTGATATGTTGAGGGTTGAGGGTTGAGGGTTGAAAAATAGCGCGGTTTAGTAATTATACAGAGGATAGTTTAAAAGAGTCAGGTGAGGATCTGCACGCGCGTATGCTGCTGTACTGTAAACTTATCAAGTACAATCGTTACAAAACCCATTAAATAGCTCATATCTCTAAAAGTAAAGGTCGCACACCATTAGCGCAATACAAAATATTGCTAGCCATACCCTCTTCACCCAAATGCGCATGCTTTTACAAAAAAGCGCCTAATTGGGCGCTTTTGCCAGCCCAATTTTTGAGTATCATATGACGTCATCAGAAGTCAAAAATGTGCTTGCATTAAGAAGTTGTCATATAAACGTGTACAAAACACTGGTAAACAAATAAATTGGTCCATCAAACAGCCGTTACATGTAGCTCAATAGTTAACATACAACAGTCGTAAAACCAGACACTCAAGAAGCGAGCACGGGGAATTCCCTTTTGTACGCAATCATAGCGCACTGTTTTCGGGATTTTCCCTTTTGTACGCAATCATCCCCATTTGCTGTACACACAATATACGTGGTATCAAATGAGCGTTTCAAGGCGTAGGTGTGTTCAACTTCAAATTTCAAGGGGACTGCAGGGCATCTTCTAGTTAACGTATTGTAACGAAACCTTGGGAAGTTTTAGACCTATTATTAACCCTAACCCACCTCACTCCTCCAAAAGCCTCCTGGCGGTTTTGGAGGATTCTAGAGGATTGAGGATGAATGGTGATTGAATCAAATGAGGATTCTGGAGGATTGAGGATGACTGGTGATTGAAGCACATGAGGATTTTGGAGGATTGAGGATGAATGGTGAATGAAGCACAAGAGGATTTTGGAGGATTGAGGATGAATGCATTTTGAGGCAGGACTTGTCTGATGATTTTGAAGGATTTGGTGTTGGTTATCCTTCATTTAAACACGAGTGCAAAGTTTTGGGATGAGGAGGAGGATTGAGGATGAATGCATTTTGAGGCAGGACTGTCTGACAATTGTGAAAAATTTAGGCGGAGTTGAAAAATTTTGGAGGATTTTGGAGGATTGAGGATGGTTGTAAGCAACAAGGGCCTAGGGGGTTAGGGTTAAAGCGCCATTTAAAGCACAAAACTTGATTATATCTTTGACGGTTGATTTTTTAGCAATTTTCAAAAGAAAAGAGGTCTTTTCTTTGTAACTTTTGGTGTGATTACGTAATCAATTTTTTTTCGCTCACAGGTCTTGTCTGCATTAAGGTCATCATGTATCTTGATTTTGAAGCGATTACCGCAAATATTGCCACAGACATCAACTGAAAATGCGTTTTGGACATTTTTTTTACCTGCCACTAGAGGGCGCTCGAACTCTTGATGGCGTCACCGATCATTTTTTTGGAAAGATCAACCCACCCACAGGCTAACATCATTGAAAGCAAGTTCATATCTTTTTCCACTTTCAAATTATTAGGCATTTCCGGTTTCGACCGGAAGAAAGGGTCATGTGATTGACGCGCACAAGATAAAATGAAGAGCATGCGTTA